GCAGTGCTGGATGGGAATGGGAGGTGACATTTCTACATCGACCACCAATGTAATAGGGGATTTACACTGACCATCAGTGTAAGAGAAATTCTGCACTTACCACCATGCAAAGGGAAATTAACACTGACCGCCAATGTAACAGGGAATTTGCACTGACGACCAATGTAATGAAACAATTAAAGGCTGGAATCTCAGGGAGGCATAAAATACATAAGAATGCAGATGATATTTATATATGAATGCCCCCACTATTTACATATCAATGCTTCTGGCTTATATCTATTTACATATGAATGCCAGTTATTTACCTGTGAATAATGACATGGTCTTTATGTGAGTGATGGCAATAGGGCAGCATAAGTGACAGCACTTCACACTGAGATATCTGGGCACAGCAAGGGATGAACACTTCAAGGGACAAGGGAATGTAAACTGGGACAGTTGTCAAGTATGGGGCAGCTGCTTTGGGCCCCACAATAATGAATGGGCCCAGGGCAGCTGCCCCTTTTGCTCCTCCTTAAAGATGGCCCTGAGTACAGTGACAGTGTATAGCATTATCACTGGTCACTGTATTAGTGTCACTAGTAGATATAAAAAAAATTATTCCAGTATATATCATAATTTGTAGATGCTTTTTAACAACTTTCACACAAACCAATCAATATACACAGTTGGGTTTTTTTTTTTTTTTTTTACCAAAGACATGTAGCAGAATACATTTTGACCTAAATTTATGAAGACATTTGATTTTTTTTTATCGGATATGTTTTATAGCAGAAAGTAAAAGATATTGTTTTTTTAAATTTTTGGTCATATATATATATATATATATATATATATATATATATATATATATATATATATATATATGTATATGTATATATATATATATTGTGACAGTATGAACGGCAAGGTGATCGATGGACGCTGTGGGGTTTATTTACTAAAGCTGGAGAGTCCAAAATCAGACTCCCTTCTGCATAGAAACCAATCAGCTTCTAACCTCAGCTTGTTCAATGAAGCTTTGGCAATGAAACCTGGAAGCTGATTGGTTTCTATGCAGAAGGGAGTCTGATTTTGGACTCTCCAGCTTTAGTAAATAAACCCCTATGTGTCACCTCACATGCGATCATACTTGGGAGTTTAAGGTGAAATCCAGTCTGGGTTTTCTGGGCCACAATGGCAGAGGTGGATCCAGACCAGAGTTTGGGCTCCACTGATGACCACCAGCAGCTGGTATAAATCAGGCAGGGCTGGAGCAAGGAGCTGCTCATGGCTTGGGACTCAGAGAGCCATTCCTGAGAGAGCGGTGCATGAAAGTGTGTGTTATACAAACAAGGAAAAAGGTTTGCTTATTGTTTTGTTTTTTTTTTTGGTGACAGGGAGAAGCCCTTCACCAGTGAGATAGGAAAAGTTCTGTGTTTATTTAGTGCCTGGATGGCAAGGGTTTCTTTTCTGTTTTGTTTGTTTTGATATTTTTGCAAACCTTTGAATAAAACTGATGACCAGTCAGATTTTAAAGAAAGCCTGCTGTGCGGTCTACCTTTTTCCCAGGAAAGGTGATCCCACACGTGAGCTAACCCCCACAATATATATATAAAAAACCCATTGGTGATCAAATACCACCAAAATAAAGCTCTACTTGTGTGAAGAAAATGATATAAATGTAATGTGTACAGTGTTGCATGACCACGCAATTACCAGTTCATGTAGTGCAGTGCTAAATAGAAAAAAATGGCCTGGTCATGAAGGCGGTAAAATCCCCTCAAATGGTTAAACTGTGAGACCACCTAATTATACTGTAGATATTAGAACAGAGTCACACCACAACACTAGTATCACGTGCAGATTTTTTCTGCGTAGGAATCTGCAACATGTATAAAACTCATTGAAGCATGTATGAAAACTGATGTAAAGTGATGTCTCTGCAAGTGAAATCTGCATGTCAGTTTTCATCAGTTTTTCTGCACATGGTGTCTGACCGAGGCCTAAAGGTTCCTTCTCAAAGTTCCCTGTCCTATGACTCCCCCATAGAGTCTGATGTGTTTGAGGGATACACAGAAAATCAGAATTAGACGGTCAAAGGTACTTAAGAGGGGACTATTGTGATCTGTGGGGGGTTTTATCAGCTGACTGGAGTTTAGATTTCTCAATAACAAAATAGTCTGTGCTGGTGTCTGGAGTCTTATTGCAACAGTCCAACTGCAGGGCACAATCAGATATAATATACCATATAGAATCCATTATGTACAGTATATCACATAAGGACATGACACTATAACAATATGATTTTCTCTATGACACCTTCAAGTTTGGTGATATAGAGGGGTTTTCTTCTGTTTTGTTACTAAAGTAACAACTGGTTCAACTTGTTAATTTGTATCAATACTATACAGACCTTGCAAAAAGATAATGTCAGCCCAATGCTTGCATGGAATCCTATCTGCGGCATGAATACCTTTCATATATTTATTCATTTTCTATGTTCCGGAAAAAAACTCCTATTATTTTGTTGTTCTTTGGAATGCCTTACTTTTATAAATAAAATGGTAAATAAATTACATAATCTAAATGGCCTACGGTTACAGCAGACATGCAGGAGATGAGGACTATAAGTCCTGGTTCACATATATGTGGCCGTGTTTTTTGCGCTAGCACGAGAGCTTATTCATTTGAATGGACTCCTGTGCCCCGTGACACGCAGAGAAGTCCCTACACTTCTTCTGAAAATGCAGCCCGCACGGCAACTTTGGTTCCCAGTACGGTTGCGTTTTCCAGTGCAGGCGGCGTGCCATTGGAACTAATGGCACTTGCCCGCGGGGACCGCATTTCTCTGTGCGGGTGTTGCGGCTGCACGGATTTTCGTTCGGATCCATCCACACAGATGTGAACCTAGCCTGAAGGAATGCAAAAAAAGTACACATGGCATTGACCAATAAGAAGCACGCATGAACGAACACACACACACACACACACACTGTATTGTACTGTATAGAACATATATACATGGAGGATATCTTTAAGGGCTACCTTTTTCATTAGCACAGTTCCATGTGAGGTCATAAAATTCCCTTTAATATTGAGAATGCAGCCTGTTAGTGGCTCTTGTGGATTGGAATTACCCATGATTAGGGTTTGGAAGAAGGGGTTCTGACAGAAAACAGGAATTTCAGATCCTTTATTTAAGAAATGATGCTGAAAAAACATACAGCCTGGCTCAAGTGTGTTAAAATATCTTTTAAGAATATGACATTGCCTAACCATAAATGATCTGCTTGGTGATCCACTAAACAGCCATGTAATTGAGTGCTGTTATATTAAAACATTGGGTAATTGGATGGTTTTGTGAATTTCTGACCCTAAATTGTTTTCAATTATTTTTATATGCTGCACAGCATAAAACACTCATCATCCATAGTTAGAATTATATCCTTAGGGTGAGCGGTGATTTTGCAGGAACCCCCTCACCTCTCCAGAAAAAAATGCAGGCATCTTTCCATCATCTTTTATGCATCTCTATGTTTATTTTATATAGACATACATAGTAATGAAGAAATGATTCATTTTTGCTAAATTTCTTAACATCTAGGGTCACTGTGAGTGAAGAGTACTATGTAAAAATGATTTTAGAATTTGCCTATACATAACAGAGAGCAAGTAGTAAAAGTATTCCCCCTTAAACAATGTTTTTTGTTTTTTTTTTAAATAAAGGAATAGTATATATTGTGTCAGACCCTGGCCACCTTCACCAACTTCTGACAAATGGCTGGTCAAACTCACACTGTACTGTCACTGATATGCAATGATGACACTCTTGCCCTCACCCTGCACAAAGATTTTCCAGTGCAGCAGACTGAGAACAACTGTCACTGGGTTTGGTTAACTATGCAATTAGCCCATCAAGTCCACAATCTGCCACCAGATATTTTGTCATAAATATTAAATGTTCACAATAACAATTATTAATAAAATGTCTGTCACCATAGCCAGGAATATCCATAGATATATAGTACCCAGGGGCGGACTGACCATTTGGGAACTCGGGCACTGCCAGAGGGCCCGGGGTCAGTAGGGGGCCCCATGAAATGCCCCTGGTACCTTTTCATAGGCTTTTTTGGGTGTGGTTTGAGTGTGGGGACGAGGACACAGGGCCCCATGATCCACTATTGCCCAGGGGTCCCATGAATTGTCAGTCCGTCCCTGATAGTACCACTCTTCAGAAAGATAGGGATTCCTTAAGTTCTTGCTTAGTGAATTAGGTACAATTTAATGATTTTAGAATATTGTTTAATAAGAAAAACAAGTAAAAATGGTGCAAACAAAATATTTACACAAAAAAGGATTAGTGTCTCTCATAAATCTTGCTGATGTTCCTTGTTTGATGGTAAAAAGAGAGCAGTAGACTACTGATGCAGCCACTCTTTTCTGATGCTTGAGGATGGTGTTGACAAAATGATCTGTCCAATGAGGTCTATCAAACTGGGCTCCAGCTACCCTGTACACCCTTGTGCCCTGGCGTGATCCACATTTCTCCATACTGACACAGCTTTGAAACATTTTTGTTTGGCTTCTATGTTATTTTCTCTAAACATCTGGCATAATACTTATAAATGGTACTCTCTCTCCTCATCATGCCCCTGCCCCCTCTCCAATGTACTTCTCAACCTTCTTATACCTAATAGTCTTTACTACAGGCACATGGCTCCATGGACCCAAGCTACCCTATTTCAGCTTTGCCATTTTGTCCGCCCTGTAACTCGTGAGCTGCTCTACTTTGGAGACCTGGAATCTAAATATCATATCCCAAAACATTTGCACTATTCTTATCTTCAAATTAAACATTTGTTTCTCTTCTTTATCCCTTTCCCTCTCTTTAGATAGGCCCACTAAATGAATATACACTATATTGCCAAAAGTATTGGGACACCCTTCCAAATCATTGGATTCAGGTGTTCCAATCACCTTCATGGCCATAGTTGTATAAAATCAAGCACCTAGGCATGCAGACTGCTTCTACAAACATTTGTGAAAGAATGGGTTGTTCTCAGGAGCTCAGTAAATTCATGTGTGGTACTGTGATAGGTTGCCACCTGTGCAATAAGTCCATCCGTGAAATTTCCTTGCTACTAAATATTCCACGGTCAACTGTTAGTGGTATTTTAACAAACTGGGAACAACGGCAACTCTGCCACCAAGAGGTAGACCACGTAAAATGACAGAGCGAGGTTAGCGCATTCTGAAGCATACAGTGTGCAGAAGTCGCCAACTGTCTGCATAGTCAATAGCTAAAGACCTCCAAACTTCATGTGGCCTTCAGATTAGCACAACAGCAGTGCATAGAGAGCTTCATGGAATGGGTTCTATGGCCGAGCATCTGCTTCCAAGCTTTACATCACCAATTGCAATACAAAGCATCAGTTGCAGTGGTGTAAAGCACGCCACCACTGGACTCTAGAGCAGTGGAGACCTGTTCTCTGGAGTTACAAATTACACTTCTCTGTTTGACAATCTGATGGATGTGTCTGGGTTTGGCAGTTACCAGGAGAACGATATTTGCCCGACTGCATTGTGCCAAGTGTAAAGTTTGGTGGAGGGGGGGTTATAGTGTGAGGTTGTCTTTCAGGGGTTGGGCTTGGCCCCATCATGCCAGTGAAGGGAGCTCTAAGGCTACGTTCACACTAGCCTTGTGTGCAGGCGGCAGAGAGGCATTTGGGAAGCGTTTTTACCGCTTCCCAAACGCCTCTGCCAATTCTGCACATTACAGCACATGGTGCTGTTCTAACAGGAGCGTTTGCGTTGCGGCAAAACGGACGCCTCTGGTCGAGTCAGGAGGCTTTGAAGCCTCCTATTCTCGTCTATGGTGCCGCTCCGCAAACGCCCGGCCGGCGTTTGCGGTGCGGTTGCGACGCGGTTGCGGGGCGTTTGCGGAGCGGTAACACCACTCAAATGCATTATAGGCGTTTGTGGGGCGTTATTAACGCTCGGCAAACGCCTTGCAACCTCCGCTAAACCGCGCATGCGGCGTTTGCGGAGCGTTAAAAAACGCTCCGCAAACACCGGACCAACGCTTGCCAAACGCTATAGGGGCGTTTGGCAAGCGTTGGCAAAACAGCCTAGTGTGAACGAGCCCTTAGGGTGTCAGTATACCAAGACATTTTGGACAAGTTCATGCTCCCAACTTTGTGGGAACAGTTTGGGGATGGCCCCTTCCTGTTCAAACATGACTGCGCACTAGTGCACAAAGCAAGGTCCATAAAGACATGGATGAGCGAGTTTGGGGTGGACTTGACTGGCCTACACAGAGTCCTGACCTCAACCCGATAGAACACCATGAGATGAATTAGAGTGGAGACTGTGAGCCAGGCCTTCTCACCCGACATTAGTGCCTGACCTTAGAAATGCTCTTCTGGAAGACTGGTCAAATATTCCTATAGACACACCCCTAAACTTTGTGGACAGCCTTCCCAGAAGAGTTGAAGCTGTTATAGCTGCAAAGGGTGGGCCAACTCAATATTTAACTCTATGGACTAAGATTGGGATGCTTTTAAAGTTGTGAGTGTAAAGGCAGGCTTCCCAATACTTTTGGCAATATAGTGTATAAGCACCCAAGGTCCCTATCAGCTGCATTTAATATCCTAAATCTACAAATGACTTTATGAGTTCACTCCCCTCACAGCAGATCTCCCTTCCTATATGAACAAATCGATCCAGGTACTAGAGGCCCATACCCCTCCCTAGTTGGGAGAAGATATGGTGTTCCATTTCCAAATCATCTCATGGGGTGGTGCAGAGAGAGACTGCTTTTAAGGTAATAATGTCCTGGTACAGAACCCCAGAATTCCTGCATCGCTATGATTTATCACTTTCCCACTGATTTTGGAGATGCGGTACTGATATATGTTCTCATTTCCATATTTTTTGTCAATGCTCACTCATACATCCTTACTGGGCATCTGTGATGTATCTCCTTCAAACTTTATTTAATGTGAACCTACCATTAGATCCAATCTATTATCTGTTAGGTCTTCCCTTCTCGGGTCTTAGTAAACCAACCAAACAGCCGATATTCCATGTTTTGCTGGCTGTACGTAGATCTATTCTGATTTGCTGGTTATCAGTAGAACCACCCACCTTTGCATTACTCTTAAATATATCATCACTGATATTTGCAGAATGGAATACCTAACAGCCTTAGTTAACAATACTTTATTACAGTTTGACAATATCTGGGATGAGTGGGATCAATCTGAGTATGGGTCTACACCCTGATATCTGATTTTCGGTCTCCCTGACCTCTGCTGGGCTATCTTCCATTGAACTTCCCATTCTGCTGCCCTCCCCTCCCTCCCCCCAAGGTGTTTCCCTTTTTAACCTACTCTACCCATTTGTCTCCATACGCAACTTTTGACCTTCATTGTGTACTAGCCTCTTATGTTCTGTCAGGAATGGACTTGCCAATAGTGGTGGGACTCACCTGCCTTCTGGGCTGCAGTACCAGGGCTGGCCAGCGGGTGCTCTCAACAGAGGTTCACTTCAGCAATTAGCCATCACCTGGGGCTGATTGCAGGTGTATTTAAGGGATGGTCAAACCGGCAGTCTGTGCCTTGGTGTGTGTTTTTCCATGGGCCCCTGTATCTTGTAACCTGCATTCCTGTTCCTGTTTCTGCCTGACTTGTTGCCGATCCTGCCTGATCCTGACCTCTGCTGACTTCTGCTGTTTGATCCCTGGCTTGTGACCCTGACCATTCTCTGCCTGACCCCCTGTACCTGCCTGTCCGTTAGTTGCTGTACCCGGCTCGTGACCTGACTACTCTCCGCCTGCTCCTCCTGTACCTACCTGCCCGATAGTTATCGACCCGGCCTGCCTGACTACGTTGTGCTCTATATGTGTATGTACCTGTGTATCTATATCAGTTTAGGTTTGGGTTTGTTTCACCTTGTTGTATGTATTTGTGTTAGCTTGGGGTTTGGTGCACTGCGTTTATATTTGTATTGTTAGTCTTAATAAATTGTCTTATTTATACCATATCTGAGGCCTGTGTTTCCCTGTGTCAGTCCACACACTTCTGGTCACACCCGCATCCCTGACATGTACTCACTCTTCTATTGCACTTGGCCTGCTTATGATTGTACAGTATTTGTTTTTATGACTTGGCCACATTATTTGGGCCCTTTTTATTTTGTGGTTGCTGACCTCTTACTTTGTCATCTGTATTTTTGAAACAAATATCTTTGTTACACACACAATTATATATATATATATATATATATATATATATATATATATATACAGTGGGGATCGAAAGTTTGGGCACCCCAGCTAAAAATTTGTATTAATGTGCATAAAGAAGCCAAGAAAAGATGGAAAAATCTCCAAAAGGCATCAAATTACAGATTAGACATTCTTATAATATGTCAACAAAAGTTAGATTTTATTTCCATCATTTACACTTTCAAAATAACAGAAAACAAAAAAATGGCGTCTGCAAAAGTTTGGGCACCCTGCAGAATTTATAGCATGCACTGCCCCCTTTGTCAAGCTGAGACCTGCCAGTGTCATGGATTGTTCTCAATCATCATCTGGGATGACCAGGAGATGTCAATCTTAAAGGTTTTAAATGCCCAGACTCATCTGACCTTGCCCCAACAATCAGCACCATGGGTTCTTCTAAGAAGTTGTCTAGAAAACTGAAACTGAAAATAGTTGACGCTCACAAAGCTGGAGAAGGCTATAAGAAGATAGCAAAGCGTTTTCAGATGTCAATATCCTCTGTTCGGAATGTAATTAAGAAATGGCAGTCATCAGGAACAGTGGAAGTTAAAGCAAGATCTGGAAGACCAAGAAAAATATCAGACAGAACAACTTGCAGGATTGTGAGAAAAACAATTCAAAACCCACGTTTGACTGCACGATCCCTCCAGAAAGATCTGGCAGACACTGGAGTTGTGGTACACTATTCCACTATAAAGAGATACTTGTACAAATATGGTCTTCATGGAAGAATCATCAGAAGAAAACCTCTTCTACGTCCTCACCACAAAAATCATCGTTTGAACTTTGCAAATGAACATATAGACAAGCCTGATGCATTTTGGAAACAAGTTTTGTGGACCGATGAGTTTAAAATTGAACTTTTTGGCCGGAATGAGCAAAGGTACGTTTGGAGAAGAAGGGGCACAGAATTTAATGAAAAGAACCTCTGTCCAACTGTTAAGCATGGGGTTGGATCAATCATGCTTTGGGGTTGTGTTGCAGCCAGTGGCACAGGGAACATCTCACGAGTAGAAAGAAAAATGGATTCAATAAAATTTCAGCAAATTTTGGATGGTAACTTGATGCCATCTGTGAAAAAGCTGAAGTTAAAGAGAGGATGGCTTCTACAAATGGATAATGATCCTAAACACACCTCGAAATCCACGGGGGATTACATCAAGAGGTGTAAACTGAAGGTTTTGCCATGGCCTTCACAATCTCATGACCTCAACATCATTGAAAATCTATGGATAGAACTTAAAAGAGCAGTGCGTGACAGACAGCCCAGAAATCTCAAAGAACTGGAAGACTTTTGTAAGGAAGAATGGGCAAAGATACCTCAAACAAGAATTGAAAGACTCTTGGCTGGCTACAAAAAGCGTTTACAAGCTGTGATCCTTGCCAAAGGGGGCAGTACAAGATATTAAGTCTGCAGGGTGCCCAAACTTTTGCAGACACCATTTTTTTGTTTTCTGTTATTTTGAAAGTGTAAATGATGGACATAAAATCTAACTTTTGTTGACATATTATAAGAATGTCTAATCTGTAATTTGATGCCTTTTGGAGATTTTTCCATCTTTCCTTGGCTTCTTTATGCACATTAATACAAATTTTTAGCTGGGGTGCCCAAACTTTCGATCCCCACTGTATATATATATATATATATATATATATATATATATATATATATATATATATATATATAAAAAATTATCTTACCAATGAGAAGGTCTGTGGAGTGGGTGATAGGATATCCGAGTCTTTATGATCATTCAGCTGTCCCTCTCAGATACAGTTTTCTAAACGTGTTAATATTTTGAGTATGCCACATGTCTTGATCTGGTAACTCACATATTATTGTGCAGTATGTAATTGTTATTCCAGAGATATTAAAATGGTACTAAATGTTCAACTTTAAAAAAACGAAAAAAAAACAAACAAACATGCCATACTTATCTCCTCTATGCAGTGGTTTTGCATAGAGCAGCCTAGATCCTCTTCTCGGGTCTCCCGTCAGTGCTCCTGGCTCCTTCCCCTTGATCAGTACCCCCCATTAGCAAGCCACTTGTTATGGGGGGACTGGTGCATGCTCGCTCTCAAGTCCAGTTCTATG